GTGGTTAGAAGAGTTTAGTCGAGCAATAATGGTCTCAAGATAATACTCGGGCTACGGTAATCTGACAACCATAGTATGGCAATAATGATAAGGGGACCATAGGCAACACATACAAGCAACAATATTTGGAAGGTTGTAGTTGGCTATTATGATTGAGAAAAAAACAATTTGATGGTATCAACCATGTGATAGTGCTCCAATCACAATAATTTGATGTGATGATTGAGCGATGATGGTTTGATGGTGACTATTTGATAGTCATTGAGCATTAAAAAAAAATGCACAAATAGAACTTCAAAATTCTTCAAGCTTCTTAGCACTTTTCATACTCCAAATTCCTTCCTCCCTCATATAGAGAATGAGCGCATCTATCTATTGTGACATTTCATATATTTTTATCAAAATTTAAATACACATCATCACATGGCTTAGAGTTTATGTCCTTGACCAAATAAAATTTTTGAATGTTTGAATGTTTAAGTGATGTTAGAAGTAAATGATTCTAGGCTCGTTAGATTCATTACATCGAGACATTTGATTCGACAAAACAACAGACAAAGTTGGAGATCATTTTGTTCTCTAATTATGATTCCAAACTTTTGACAATGCTTCAAATATTTGATTTGAGTTCATTATGAGTTCTATCGAAAATCACTTCAGCTGTCGATCGGTTAGCCTTTTCGTCAAGTTTACAATTTTTTTTTCCATATATTTAGAGTTTAAAAGGTCTTAAAATTAATCTCAAATTTTTCAAATTCAAAATTTACATAGATTTTCATATTTGACCGAGTGAGTTTTTCCCTTCTTACTAAAATATATAAATTGAAGCAGATGGCCAACATAAAAGAGACTGAAAGAGAGTGGGTGTAAGTTTGTTTATCCGATAAACATTTAAAAACAACTATAAAATATTTATGATAAATCTAAATTATCCTTTCATATAATAAATTTGGAAGATATGCTTATGTTACTTCTTACTTTTCTGCCAAATGCATCTCAATTATGAGAAAATATTGCATCAGGACTCCGCACTTAGAGTTACGTGCGGAGTGTAATGAAATCACGTTATATGGCTGTGACAGGAAAAATAAAATAAAATATACCGGTAACACAAACGAATATTCCTCCCATGTTATTCAATTGTTATTGTGTGTTATTCAGGTGTTATTGTGTGTTATTCAAGTGTTATTGGTGTTATTGATGTGTTATTGTTTATTGTTTTATTATAACACCGAGAATATTCCCAGAACACAATAACACCTAAATAACATACAATAACACCTGAATATCACAAAATAATACTGGGGAATATTCTCATGCGTTACCGGGCCAATTTTTTTTTGTACCTCCACGTGACATGATTTCATTGAACTTCGCATGAAACTCTACGTGCGGCATCGTGATGCAATAATTTTTTCTCAATTATTCTCTCAAATAAATAAATAAATAAATAATACAGTAAAAGCCTCTCATCGGCCCATAAAAATTGAATCTGACTTTGCATATACAATACCCGAAAGAACAATGAGTGAAAATTTCAATTAAAGTTTCTATTCGATTTTAAATTTGTAGGAAAAAAAGGTTTTTATATTATGAAATTAATTAGGAAATTTACATACATACCACACATTTTTGTGTATTTACATATCTAATATCTTATTTTTTGTATTTATATTTAAAACATTTTATTGTTTTAAACTTTTGCATAAAAAAAGGTGTAATTATTTCAAAAAAAATAAAAATAATAATATTTTTATTAGAATATTAAAAGCTTTAATGTCATTAAAATTGCAAATTTTAAATATATACTATATAATTGTGTGATATGAATGTAAATATTTCTCTTTTATCTTTCTATTAGCCAACAATTTTTTATTATTTTTTTTTATTTTCTTGTCCTTTTTAACGATTGGTGGGATTCCACAGCTAAGACCAGCACAACAAGGACGGTAGGTGTGAAGTGGATTTGACTTTGATCGAGTAAATCTCAATTTTAAATTAATTTTTTTTATTATTTTGCATCGAGGGAAAACTCAAAATTGAAATTATTTTTTGAGTTGATTTGATTTTTAATTAAGTAATTATTTAATTATATGTGGATTTAAGGAGAGGCATGCTCTCCTCTAGAATTAAATATTATTTTTTATGTATAATAAATATATATTAAGATATACATACTTTTTTTATCTCATTAACAAACATTTTAACGTACTTCTACACCCTCACCGACACGAGAAAATATTGCGTCCCCATGAGAAAGTATTGCGTCCGGAGTGCGGACGTAAACAACTTACAACTGACGTAATACACCATGCGAGGGTTTTTTTCCCTTCCACTCTTCCGGTGAATCGTGTCTGT